CCTCTCCTCGTTCCCTGCAATTGAAATTTACAATACCTGCTACTTTTTTTTTGCTTTACTTGTTTCATTGAATTATCTGCGTAAGAATGATAACTTTGGTTTTGGTCTTACGACACTCAAATGAAAAGCGCTCTAAACAAATAAGGGTTGATCCTGACTGAGGAAGCTTGCGACAGAATACGAACAGCAAAACTGAAGACTGGCTAATTTTATCAAATTTGCCGTCCGTACACAGACATGACTCTTTTTATATCGTGACGAAGTGTGTAGCAAGCTTTTCGACTTGTTGTACGCCTGAGGTCCCTGAAGCCCGCATCTAAGGGGACCTGGTAATATGCTGCGCCGGAATTTCTATATTTCAGAAAGCCTCTGGCAATGTTTTAACAATGTAACGGCAAAATTGTGGGCCCGAGCCACGCCCCTGTTGGCCACTTTGTACGATTCTAAATAAGTGCTACAAGAAACCTGAACAGCTTCTTTGTTATTTCATATCACAAGGAGTGGTAAAGTTTGAATTTCCATTTGGCAGAATTTTTTCCGAACAAAACTCAAGTCCTTTAAGAATAGAATACAAATAAAAACGCAAGGATTTCACTTGGAAGGCCATGAATCATTATCTGAACAAAGAAGCACCTTTGATAAGTTCCTTAGAGACTCCACAGGAGAAGATAACACACAGTCACGAACAAACTTGGTAACCTGATGGCAGAAATCCAAATGAAGAGGCTGGAAAGGAAACAAATGTTATGTGATTATGACTGTTGGAGAACTCTATCTCATGAAATAAGTTGTTGTAGGGCAAAGGCATTAAGTAAAGAAATCTTTTTAATGTGTTCAAAAACTTTCCAACTGCCATAAAATCTGGCACTTTAAATTGATAGGTCTCAAAATTAGCGAGGAGAATTATGCAGTCGTACGATTCTATCACGATCTGCGATTTCTGGCGTCTATTTCGTCCACAACTAGTTTTTTAAGATTTACACGAGCACGTTACAGAGTTATAAGCAGGGCCTATGACATCCTGCGTTTTCGGTTGAAGCATGCATACATAGTTACTTTATGCATTCAAAGATAACGCGTGTTAAGTCCAAATTCAGTGAGGATATTCAGGTATTGATGAGAGCCTCTCTTATTGCAAAATTCCTTTTAATATGACTCGTAACAGTGTTTGTTCTAACTTACCGAGCAAACAGCAGCCATGTTTACCACGCCACTGAGACACTCTTTCCGAAGAGAAACAAAAGAATTGTACATGCATAACATGACCTGAAGGAAGCCACTTATTCTCACCGCCTGTGTATGAAAAAGAAGCTGATTATCAAATTACTAATTAGTCATTCGAAAGAGACTATATTTATTAGGTGCATGGAAGTGAAGACAACCCACTTTTTTTCTAC